ACCGGGGGGGGGCTGCGGTGTGGCAGCAGCAGGTCCGGAGTGGGGTCAGCCATGGGGGGGGACCTGGGACATGGAGGGGGGGGCGTGGGTGACAATTCTGGGGGTCCCAGAGGGGATTTGGGGTTCTCGGGGAGATTTCTGGGGGGTCCCAGGTGGGTTTTGGGGGGCCCAGAGGGGATTTTGGGGTTCCCAGGTGGGTTTTTTGGGGTTCCCAGGTGGATTTTGGGGGTCCCGGATGGGTTTTTGGGGGTCCCAGAGAGGATTTTGGGGGTCCCAGATGGGTTTTGGGGGGTTCCCAGAGGGGTTTTGGGGTTCTCGGGGGGATTTTGGGGTTCCCAGTTGGGTTTTTTTGGGGTCCCAGAGGGGATTTTGGGGTCCCAGAGCGGATTTTGGGGGTCCCAGAGGGGATTTTGGGAGTCCCAGGTGGGTTTTTGGGGTTTGGGGTTCTCGGGGAGATTTCTGGGGGGTCCCAGGTGGGTTTTGGGGGGCCCAGAGGGGATTTTGGGGTTCCCAGGTGGGTTTTTTGGGGTTCCCAGGTGGATTTTGGGGGTCCCGGATGGGTTTTTGGGGGTCCCAGAGAGGATTTTGGGGGTCCCAGATGGGTTTTGGGGGGTTCCCAGAGGGGTTTTGGGGTTCTCGGGGGGATTTTGGGGTTCCCAAGTGGGTTTTTTTGGGGTCCCAGAGGGGATTTTGGGGTCCCAGAGGGGATTTTGGGGGTCCCAGAGGGGATTTTGGGAGTCCCAGGTGGGTTTTTGGGGTCCCAGAGTGGTTTTTGGGGTTTCATGGGGGATTTTTCGGGTCCCAGGTTGGTTTTGGGGTTCCCAGAGGGGTTTTGGGGGTCCCAGAGCAGATTTGGGGGTTCCCAGGTGGGTTCTTGGGGTTCCCATGTTGGTTTTGGGGTTCCCAGGTGATTTTGGGGGTTTCCAGGTGGATTTTTGGGGTCCTAGGGGGGTTTTTGGGGTCCCAGAAGGGATTTGGGGTTCCCAGGTGGATTTTTGGGGTCCTAGGGGGGGTTTTGGGGTCCCAGAAGGGATTTGGGGTTCCCAGAGCGGATTTTGGGGTTCCCAGGTGGGTTTTTTTGGGGTTCCAGAGCGGATTTGGGGGTTCCGAAGGGGACCTGGGGTTCCCAGGCGGGATTTTGGGGTTTTTGGGGTCCCCCGTGCCCGGGCTCACTCACGGGCTGGGGGGGTCCCCGCTGGGGTTTTTGGGGCTCCTCGGGCGGGGGGGGAAGGGGGTGCTCTCCTCCTCCAGCTCCAGCACCCTCAGGGGGTCGGGGGACCCCCCCCCAGTGTCGCTGTCCCCCCCCGAGTCGCTGCTGGTGTCCCCGATGTCCCCGTGGGGGTCCCCAGGGTCGGGGTCCCCCCCCGAGCCCCGGCCCTGCTCCAGCGAGCGAGCGTAGAGCTCCGAGAAACTCCTGGGGGGGGGGGCAGCGACACTGGGGGGGGGGGCCCGACCCCCNAGAACCCCTCGTGTGAGCGCCCCCCGTGACCCCCCCCCACCCCTCGGGGACCCCCACCTGTAGGAGGTGCGGGGGGTGCCGGGCTCGTGCACGCGCACCACCAGGAACACGTGCTGGAAGTGGCTGCGGAGGGCGCGCGGCGAGAACGGGAGCGCGCCCGGCTCCTGGAACACGATGGTCACGATGTCGTTGCCGATGTGGCGCTTCCGCAGCAGCTGGGGGGCGGCAAAAGGGGCTCGGAGACCCCCGGAACCGGCACCGGGGGGCTCAGAGACCCCCGGAACCGGCACCGGGGGGTCAGAGCCCCAAAACTGGCACCGGCGGGGCTCAGAGACCCAAAATTGTCATGGGAGGGGGTCTAGAGGGGGACCAGATCTCCCAAAATTGGCACCGGGGGGCTCAGAGACCCCCAGAACCGGCACCGGGGGGTCAGAGCCCCAAAACTGGCACCGGGGGGGCTCAGAGACCCAAAATTGTCATGGGAGGGGGATTCAGAGGGGGATCAGAGACCCCCAAAATTGGCACCGGGGGGGTCAGAGCCCCAAAACTGGCACCGGCGGGGCTCAGAGACCCAAAATTGTCATGGGAGGGGGTCTAGAGGGGGATCAGAGCTCCCAAAATTGGCACCGGGGGGCTCAGAGACCCCCAGAACCGGCACCGGGAGGTCAGAGCCCCAAAATTGTCATGGGAGGGTCCAGAGGGGGATCAGAGACCCCCAGAACTGGCACCGGGGGGCTCAGAGACCCCCAGAAATGGCACCGGGGGGCTCAGAGACCCCCAGAAATGGCACCGGGGGGCTCAGAGACCCCCAGAAATGGCACCGGGGGGCTCAGAGACCCCCAGAACCGGCACCGGGGGGGGTCAGAGGCCCCAAAATTGTCATGGGAGGGGTTCAGAGCCCCAAAATTGTCATTGGGGGGGTCCAGAGTGGGGTCAGAGACCCCTAAAACTGGAACGGGAGGGGGGTCCCCGTGTTCCCATGTCCCTGTCCCCCTGTCCCTGTCCCTGCTCACTGCGGGTGTCCAGGGGGGGGAAGGCCACCCGAGAGAGGGGGGGGGGGGGGGGGGGTCAGAGCCCCCAAAATTGTCATTGGAGGGGGGTTCAGAGGGGGGTGAGAGACCCCAAAATTGGCACGGGGGTGGGAATCAGACCCCCAGACTGTCCCGGGGGGGGGTTCCAGAGGGACCCCCAGCTGCCACAACCTCCCTGAGCTCCTGCTGGGGGTGAAGAGCAGCACTGGGGAGACCCTACAGACCCCCACCACTCTCTGTGACCTCGTGACCCCTCTGTGACCCCCTCCCACCACCCTGAGACCCCCCAGGACCCCCCCCAAGCCCCCTGGTACCTGCTGGGGGTTGCGGGGGGTGAAGGGCAGCATGGTGCTGACGTGGAACATCACCTCGTAGCCGTGGTAGGTGGTGTACAGCGAGTGCGTGCCCGTGGAGTCGGCTGGGGGGGCACGGCCTGAGACCCCCGCCCGCCGGGGGGACCCCGACCCACCAGGGGGACCCCGAACCGCTAGGGAGACCCCGACCCACCGGGGAGACCCCGAACCGCTAGGGAGACCCTGACCCACCGGGGAGACCCCGACCCGCTAGGGAGACCCCAACCCACCAGGGAGACATCACCCTGACAGGGACCCCCCACCAGGGAGCCCCCACCCCTCGAAGGAGCCCCCTCCCCACCAGGGAACCCCCTCCCTGCCAGGGAGCCCCCATCCCAGTCCCCGTGTCCCCATGTCCCTCCCATGTCCCCTCCATGTCCCTGTGTCCCCGTGCCCCATCCATGTCCCCGTATGTCCCACATCTCCGTGTCCCCTCCATGTCCCCCACATCCCCTCCCTGTCCCCCAGTGTCCCCGGCACCGGGGGGCTCAGAGACCCCCAGAACCGGCACCGGGGGGGTCAGAGACCCCAAAATTGTCCCGGGGGAAGGTTCAGAGCCCCAAAATTGTCATTGGGGGGGTCCAGAGTGGGGTCAGAGACCCCTAAAACTGGAACGGGAGGGGGGTCCCCGTGTTCCCATGTCCCTGTCCCCCTGTCCCTGTCCCTGCTCACTGCGGGTGTCCAGCTGGGCCCGGTATCCCTGTCCCCTCCCTGTCCCTGTCCCCCTGTCCCTGCTCACTGCGGGTGTCCAGCTGGGCACGGTATCCCTGTCCCCATGTCCCCTCCCTGTCCCTGTCCCTGTCCCTGCTCACTGCGGGTGTCCAGCTGGGCCCGGTATCCCTGTCCCCTCCCTGTCCCTGTCCCCCTGTCCCTGCTCACTGCGGGTGTCCAGCTGGGCGCGGTGTCCCTGTCCCGATGTCCCTGTCCCGGTGTCCCCCCCGTGTCCCGGTGTCCCCATGTCCCCTCCCTGTCCCCGTGTCTCACTGCGGGTGTCCAGCTGGGCGCGGTAGCCGCCGAAGCCGCGCAGCCGGACGCGGGTGCCGAGCAGCGCCAGGACCTGGTGTCCCCCCTGTCCCGGTGTCCCTCCCATGTCCCCGTGTCCCCATGTCCCCCTGTCCCTGCTCACTGCGGGTGTCCACCTGGGCGAGGTAGCCCTGTCCCTGTCCCCGTGTCCCCATGTCCCCGTGTCCCCGTGTCCCCGTGTCCCCGTGTCTCACTGCGGGTGTCCAGCTGGGCGCGGTATCCCTGTCCCAGTGTCCCCTCCCTGTCCCTGTCACCCCCGTGTCCCCCTGTCCCTGCTCACTGC